CCCCCCACCCGCTGGGACCCCCCCGGCCCCGCAGGCAGCGTCCTCCGCCAAAGCAGCTGCGCCTGCACCTGGGCAGCCTGGACCCTCGTGCCCTGCCCCCGGGGCCTCGCGTGGGGGGCGCCCCGGGACACCCCCTGCGGGCTGGGTGGAGGAGGAAGAGGCGGAGGAGGAAGAAGACGTGGACCGGGACCACCACCCTGCGCAGAACACCTGGCTGCGCTACTACCACTTCTCTTTAAGGGGGAGGAGGCGAGAGCCGAGGAGAGCCATGGGGGGCTGCGAAGTCCGGGAATTTCTTTTGCAATTTGGTTTCTTCTTGCCTCTGCTGACAGCTTGGCCAGGCGATTGCAGTCACGTCTCCAGCAACCAAGGTAAGGGACGCAGCGGGGAAGCGGGAGGGTAGGAGGAGGAGGGAGCTTTGAGGTCCGATGTACCGGTCGCTTCTGCAGGTAACTTCGTCCCGGGGTCAGTTTCTCCTGGCTCCTCACATGAGGGTGTAAAGAATGTCCTCTAACCGGAGAGCCCTGTAGACAACCGCCCGGGACCGGCGGCCCCTTGAGCTGAGAGCCCTTGTGCTCCCAAATGTCTTTAAACGGATGCGTGAGCATCAGCACCTTTGGGTCCCAGCGCTGGCGGACGAAGGACCGCTCTCCCTACTCTGCATCCACCGGAGGTCAGGCTCGGTGGCACAGACTGAATGGAAACTTCTGACTCATGGCAGTCGCTCGCAGATTGTCTCCCATGCGTTCTTGAAAGGCAGATCGCTCCACTTGCACCCTACACCCTGAGACCAGTTACCAGCCTTGCTTCCAGTAACTTCATGCCACCGCGCCAAGCCTTAGCCCGGTGTCCACCGTCCGGGCCACCTGATGTGTAGACTTGTTCCAAATCTCTCGTGGACCAGATGCACACAGATCTGAGTAGTGGTTTCTCTTTCTTTGGGAAGAGAGTAGATAAGCTTTAGGTGTGAATTTTTAAATTGTGAATATCCTGTTCATAAAATCACATCGCTGACCAATATTTCGGAGGACTTTGTTACTGTGGGTAAAGTGGTAGCGTGAAGGTGAATAGTAGGTGAAAAGTGAAGGGCCAGATTTGACTATCTGAGTATTTTGTTTCGTTTTATTCAATTTTTATGAAACATCTGAATTTCTGCTATGACTATTTAAAGGTCTATTTTTTAAACTCACCTGCAAATTCTAATTCCTCTTAAGCTGAAGTGTGGAACAACCATCAAAGTTTTTCAAGTTTTTCAGCATGTACCTGGATAGGCGCTGTCACTGTCACTGAAATGACCTCCAGTGTCACCTGTTATGTCACAATGGTCTAAAGACTTTGTAAGACTTGTCAATTATAGTTTCCATTTAACATGTAAGGCATGTTTAGGATCTGGAAATAATTCATAGTCACAAAAGTGAATTTTGTACAGTTTCGAGGAGGAGAGAAGGCTAAGAGATGGCAAGTAAAACAACACTGTTCTTTTTTTGTCATAAACATATGACCATTTTGCTTTATTTTATTTACAAATGCAATTATTCAGAAGTAAAACTTGGTTCTCACATGATGGCTACTTTTGACATTTCCTAGTTATGACTATAGTTTTAACCTGCCATGCATCATAGTCCGTATGTGAATCTGGAGCCCACGTATAGCTGCCAGCACTGAGAACCCATCACATAAGTGCCCTCCTCCTCTGTGTGCTTTACGTTTCACACCACATCCTCGTTCGTCTTCAAGGACTATTGGTGTTCAGTATGGAATGGGGTAGTTACTTCACCTCTGTGAAAATAGAAGGCTGTTACAAATGACATGTAATTATTAACTTGACATTTATTTTGTAAAGAGAGAAATCAATTTCTTATAATCAGGAAGTCAAACATTGATATTGCACTTTATGTTAAATGTTTAAGGATATGAAAGAGAGGTATACTGTGGGAATCCAGTTTCCTAGAAGTTTTCAGCAGTTATTCCCATGCAGTAATTTCCCTAAATCAACATTTATCTGTTTACCTATGATATATCAGTAACCACCCCAGGCCTTGGCAATGCTCATCTAAATACAACACAGATCTGAACCTCCAGATGACTGATGTGCCAGTCTACCAGAAAGGTCAGGCTGAAAGCACAGCCTGAAAGGTAATTTATATTAAATTTACGAGGAGATATTATTATTAACCTCTTGGAGTAGTTTTTATTTGATTATCTATTTGAATGGCTTCCTTAGTATTATTTAAAGTTGTTTTTACCTAAAATATATACCAAAAATATGTAATTGGATTGAGTTCATCAATTTACCGAATATTAAGTATTAACTGAGTTTTGCAATCAGTTAAGTGGGATCATTAAAGATTGTCTAGTTAAACATTTAATTTGAAAATGTTTTAATGTACTAAAAACACAGGCTATGCATAAAAATACACATGGACACTGGATAAAGTAGTACCTACAGGTTCAATTGAGTAAAATTTAGGGTGAGTCTTCAAAGGAAGTACATAGAGACACTATCAGCTGTTTTTCATTTGACATAAAGATCATTTATAATATACTGAAAGCCTAAAGTCATAGTTATTAGAAACTTTTTTCTGATAATAAATTGAGATAACTTTCAAATCTTGAAACCATCCCACTCATGGTCAATAAAATGTCAGACTTCTAAATGGTATTCTTTACAGACTACGGATTCGTTCTTAAGTTTTAATTTCTTTGTGTAAATTTGTGTAAATAGATGACATGAAAGATTTTATTAATTTATAAACGTTGGAAATATGGAACATTATAGAATTATCTCATGTAAACAGTATGGAAACATTAATGTAAAATATAAAGTAGATTTCTTAGATACATAAAAATATCAATAATGTTAGGTAACATTTATTTTCTCAGTAACTTTTACTTTAAAAGCTAATGGAATTAACGTTTTATTCTTAAAGCTTGTTATTTTACACAGAATAAAATTTATTTTTATAAAACTTCCTTGGTTAAGAACACTCACAAAGTAAAATTTTTGCCACTAGTTACCCATTTTCACAAATGTTATAAAATCTTTAATAATTGAAATGAATGGATTCACCCTCTCCACCTCCTGTACCCCGTGCTTCATACCTAGGCAGTGTGAAACAGTGGCGACAAAATAGTAAATTACCTCATTCTTTTAACATGGTGCTGAGAGTAACTTGACTATGGGAAAGATCTCTTGTCTTTTAACTGACTGTGAAATTGTGCACTGTAAAGACAAAATAAATCAATTGGAGTCTCTTCCTATTACCCAACCCTCCTTGAATCAATCAGAAAGTAAAGGTGCTTTCTAGATCACTTCATCTGATTAAATAAGTGAAAACATGATTCGTGTTCAAATCTCTGTCATGTTCCATTAATTTTCCCTATATTTAAAACCACAGTATTAAGTACATATTGGTAATGGGAAAAAAGTCAGGCTTTATCTTCTCAAAATATAAATTTTATCTTCTCAAGCGATTTCATCGTGTATAGACAACACCTAGGTAAATATAAAATACAGTCTTACTTCATGTGTAAGTTAACCATATCAATTACATGGTTAGTAGCCATTGAAGGTCCATTTACTCAAAGATTACTCCACTTTAGCAAATAGTACTTCATAGCCTAAATGAGTTGATGCATCGTTCAGGGTGTGGCTCATATATCTAAAAACAACGAATTGCATACTCAATTTATTAAAGTATGGTTTGGGTACATGAGTACAGTGAACTTGGTACCAAGCTGTGTGAATTGGGATTTTTTTTTTTTAACAGGCAATTCAGTGACAGGTGAAATAAACAAGCAAAACAATAGTGTGACTAGTTAATTTCGTTGAATTTATTAATGTGAATGAATTGACTGCAAAATCCACTGAGGCAGATATAAAACCCACCTAAGCAGAAAAATGTCTACTCAATAACACAATTCATTTTCTAATATTACTTGAACTGCTACAAGTGTTGCTGACTTCCTAACAGATCTAATTTGCTCATAAATTTTTATCAGTGGAGAAATTGAAGAAATTGAGAATGTTCAAATAAACTTGTAAATATAAAAAAAAATAGAGAATAGGGAAGGGAATTATGGGGTGGCCATCTTCCCTGAGGGTGACTTCTCACTTTTCCTTTCTCTGTCTCTCTGCCTCTCTCCAGTGAGCCCACATTCCCAATGGCAAAAACCTAAAAACAAACAAACAAACAAACAAATAAACACTTAAGGTAGGAAACAATAATCTATAAAAAATATTTCTGAAAGACCCTATTTTAGGTTAAATTAGTTTTCAGTGATAGCTATTTTTAGTTAAAATGATCCAAGAGATTGTTGTCTTATGCCTTGTTGTTATACCTAAGTTTAAATAAAACCTAGAATGTAATTTTATTATACATTTACAAGTTGAAAGAAGTCATTGAAGTAGTCATTATGATTAGCATCCAAAATAGAAAGATAAAATACTTTTTCTTTCTTTCTTTTTCTTTTTTTTTTTGACAGACCCAGTAGTTCTAAAACTTTTTCTTTCACAGAAATTATATAGTGTTCATTAAGGCTCTCCTCTTCTGATCAGAATTAACTTAGTAGAAGACTATCATAAAAGAAATGTCCATGAATAAAGATCTTTTATGTGGGTTTACAAATGGGAAAATATATGGCTAATGGTACAAATAAAATTAATGGTTCAATTACATCTTTTTTACTTTTGTGTTAATTTTAAATTATAAAATAAATAAATGTTAGAAGAGTGTTAGAGTTGAAAGCTTAGTGTTTGTTCCTTCACTAATCATTGCTAGTATAAACTATGTAAGTGAGAGAAATACCACAATTTCTTCTATTTCGCTCTTCCAGTCGTTTTTCCCTATCACACAATCTCAATATCCTTCTCTCTATTCCCTTTCCCTCCTCTCTGACTTGCACACACACTTCTGTCTACATACTCCATTTTTGTCAAACGGTGAAAGAAAACATCCAACTTCACAGTGCACATCAAGCAAATCCCAACAATAATACACATTTCTTAACTGTATCCTTAGCTCAATATTTCTTGGGAATATAAACATGGCAGAGATCAATATGTATAGCTAAATAATCAAAATGAGTTTACTGTGTCCAAGGTACATTATCAAGTAACTTCAAACTGAAGGATTGAATTACTTATATAGCTACAGTGTTCTGTTCAACTTGTAATTTCATTAGACCAAGATTATTTCTTTAAAGAAAAATCGAAGATATGTTACTCCTACTCTTACTATATTTTATTGAGTAGTATTTTTTTGGAATATTATTGGATGATGGGGGAGAAGGATAAGAAAGGAAGACGTATTCTATGCCTTCATGGAGTTTAGGCAAATAAATAAAACAATCACGTTTGTAGAAATTCTAT